AGCAATTTTTTTTTTTTTTTTTTTTGCCACACCATTCAACCTGCAGAGCATCCATGACTGAGGACGGAATCTGTTCCCCCTGCAATGGAAGGGCAGGAATTCTAACCACCAGGGTTATTTTAATTTTAACTGGACCAATAGGGAAGTCCTCAGCCGGCACTTCTGATCTGGGTTGCTCACCTGGTGGGGTGACCCAGACCTTTATCCCGAAGTGGTCTGTGCCCCCATAACTGTGACTTTACCAGGCTGTTATGGTAATTATCCATTCCCAGTCATGACTTGACGTGAAAGCATGAAGACACGCCCCAGGGAATTCACTGTGTTTTGCAAACACTCCTTCTGACCTCATTATGTAGACATAGCTGCATCTCCTTATAATAATTGGAGATGAATTACTCTGGCCTACAGCACTTCCCCTTTCTGTCTTCTGGTTTATTGGCACGTTGCTTAGTTGTCAATGTGTTGACAGAGTTAGTTGTCAGAGTCAGTTGTGTCTGACTCTTTGCAACCTCGTGGACTGTAGCCCACCAGGCTCCTCTGTCCATGGGATTCCCCAGGCAAGAATACTGGAGTGGGTTGCCATTTCTTTCTCCAGGATCTTCCCGACCCAGGGATCAAACCCACGTCTCCTGCATTGCAGGCGGATTCTTTATTGCTGAGCCACCAGGGAAGCCCCTATTGGCATGAGGAGCTCAGAACAACCAGGTTTTAGCCACAGAGTTAGTGGAGTCCCATATCCTTTTGCAAAACACCTCCTTATCCTCCATCAGGAGACTGAGACTTCTAGTCCAGCCAAACCTAAAGTGCAGATTCCTCGAGGGGACCCTGGGAGTGGTGACAGATGCCACTAGACATCCATCCCTTGGTTCCCAGATCTTCAGGGGTTCTACCAATCGGAATCCAGCATCCCTATCCCTCAGTATTCATCTACCAACTGGTGCCTTCACTGTGGTATTTCAGGCCATTTCAATGTCTAACCAAACTGGTAAGTTCTAGGTGATGTTCTATACAGCAGGATCACTGGATCCCATGATCACATGCCCATTGTAGTGCCCATTTTGACATAAATGGAGCCCTTGGTTTGCAGCACGTATCAGGATTCAATCAGAGAAGCAGAGCCACTGTGCGTGACATAGTGACCCAGGTATCCTTTTCTTTTTTTGGCCATGTTATGTGGCATGTGGGACCATAGTTTCCCAACCAGGGATCAAACTCATACCCCTGGCATTGGAAGCACAGTCTTAACTGCTGGACTGCCATAGAAGTCCCTCAAAAGTTTTTTTAATAAAAATTCATAATCATCTCTTTTCATAAGCAAAATGCCAGAGTATTCAAAGCATTGTATAGCAACAAAAATTTTTTAGTAATGTCCCATGCACTATTTGAAACACACTTATACTAAACAATTATTCACTGTTTATGAATTATTCATTATTATTCATTACTCACTGAAATGAAAATTCAGGTTCACTGGGTGTCCTGTATTTTTGTTAAATGTAGCAACCCTAAACGGTATACAGTCTTCAGATACAAACCACTTTCTTCATGTTTCCTCATAATACAACCATTTAGGAACCTGTTTTGAAAACACCAGCTAGAACTGGAGGAGCCAAGATGGCGGAGGAATAGGACGGGGAGCGCACGTTCTCCCCTACAAATTCATCCAAAGAACATCTGAACGCTGAGCAAACTTCACAAAACAACTTCTGACCACTAGCAGAAGACATCAGGCACCCAGAAAAGCAGCCCATTGTCTTCGAAAAGAGGAAACAAATTTTTTTTCCTGTTTTATTTTTTTTCTGTTTTCTTTAAAAGTCCTCTATTACTCCTTAATTTTCATTTTCATTTCACTATAACCTTGCAAAAAAAAAGTCATATTTTTAAACCGAACTTCATATATATTTCTAAAATTTTTTGTGTTTGTGTTTTTGTTTTTAATATTGTATTTTTAAGAGTCTAACCTCTACTCTAGATTTTTAATCTTTGTTTTTCAGTATTTGATTTCAATTTTGGACATTTAAGAATCCAATATTCAGTACCCATTTTTACTCAGGAGTGTTGATTACTCTCTCCCACTTTTGACCCTCCATTTTCTACCTCAGAACACCTCTTATTTCCTCCCTTCCCCTTCTCTTCCCAATCCAATTTTGTGAATCTCTGTGGGTGTCTGGGCTACCGAGAAAACTTAGGGAACAGAGAACTGCATAGATCTGTCTCTCTCCTCTTGAGTCCCCCCTTTTCTCCTCCTGCTCATCTCTATCTCCCTCCTCCCTCTCCTCGTCTTCATGTAACTCTGTGGACCTCTCTGGGTGTCCCTCACAGTGGAGAATCTTTTCACCATTAACCTAGAAGTTTTATTATCAGTGCTGTATAGTTGGAGAAGTCTTGACTACTGGAAGAATAAAACTGAAATCCAGAGGCAGGAGACTTAAGCCCAAAACCTGAGAACACCAGAAAACTCCTGACTACATGGAACATTAAGTAATAAGAGACCATCCAAAAGCCTCCATACCTACACTGAAAATACCAGCTAGTTGTGAACGTAAATAGGGTGACATGTCTTCCCCTAGTGGCGAATCCAGTCAAGTGGTAGTTCAAAGTCACACTTAATCACTTTAACTAAACACTTACTGTCAGCTGCAAAGTGTGGAAAAAAAAAAAAAGTCCTTGCATTTATGGAGCTTGCCGCCCAGAGAAGGGGCTGTATGTTGGGACATACTATAAAATCTCTCCTAAGGCAGTGTCTCTGACAGTCATGAAGGTACAGTTTAGTTCAGTTCAGTTACTCAGTCGTCTCTGACTCTTTGCAATCCCATGAATCGCAGCACACCAGGCCTCCCTGTCCATCACCAACTCCCGGAGTTTACTCAAACTCATGTCCATTGAGTCGGTGATGCCATCCAGCCATCTCATCCCCTGTCGTCCCCTTCTCCTCCTGCCCCCAATCCCTCCCAGCATCAGGGTCTTTTCCAACGAGTCAACTCTTCACATGAGGTGGCCAAAGTATTGGAGTTTCAGTCTCAGCGTTAGTCCTTCCAATGAACACCCAGGACTGATCCCCTTCAGGATGGGCTGGTTGGATCTTCTTGCAGTCCAAGGGACTCTCAAGAGCCTTCTCCAACACCACAGTTCAAAAGCATCAATTTTTCGGCGCTCAGCTTTCTTTATAGTCCAACTCATACATCCATACATGAC